AACTGTAACAGGCAAATATGTATTTTAAAAATGTATTTGGTATCATTCGCTAAATTCGTGTTCTTTGCTTTTTGGCTGATTGTGTGCACATTGAAAGGGGATGCTCAGGTTAATAACCAGGTGTACACATTGAAAGGGGATGCTCAGGTTAATAGTACACATTGAAATGGGATGCTCAGGTTAATAACCAGGTGTACACATTGAAAGGGGATGCTCAGGTTAATAACCAGGTGTACACATTGAAATGGGATGCTCAGGTTAATAGTACACATTGTAAGGGGATGCTCAGGTTAATAAACATATATGAACAATGATATGTTTGACCTAAAAGGAAGCTGTCAGAAGCTGACATTGCCGACTTGTTTTTGAAGGTGCAGTCTATTAGATTGTCATCTTAGTCTTTCCCTCCCTCTACCTGGAGAGTAGACGAATCTGAACAAGCATGTGCGTATTATGTACTATACTCATGGTTGGTCCAGGTGAGCGACTCAGTAAGTGATAAACCCGAAATAAACTCTTAGAAATAATTAGTGGTAATGCCCATATTTCTGACAGCTTCTCTGTATCCATCAATGTTAAAAGGTAAAGAAAGTCCAAAGTTTTTAGCGCTCTCTGGGGGGGATCTGGGTGTAGTACAATGGTGTGCGGCTCCTGGTGGGTTCAGGCTGGGGTGCCCAACGTGTTGCGCTTCGGTCTTCTTCCTTTTGTTTCATTATCCATCAATTCTACAAGACTCTTCAACTATTATGACCATAGGCATTATACACTGAACTGTACCTTGTCTAAAATACAGTATGTGAAATCTCGGGATTACAGTGGCTAGCATTTTAATTATTATAGACTGTATCCCATTACAAAATAAGGTAGCTGCCTCAGAATATGTCCCTTTATCGGATGTCCCAATACTATTTTTTTCTAGACCAAGAACAAGTACTTTTCCTCAGGTACTTGCCGATACGTTTTCTTAAGGGGACATGTGACAGTTTTTCTAAAACAATACAGACTATTTTAGGTCAGTCTTATTATAATTATGAGGAACTGTAACTTAATCCATGATTATTCAGCAATGGAGAATGGAAACCAGCAGTAGAGGACTACAGATCCCATCAATCCATGGCAGCTAGCAATCATGTATTGCTGAGAACTGTAGGTCTCTATAGCCGGTCACCAGGGCTGCGTGCAGGTCTCACTAGGTGAGCGTCAGGCTCCCCGGGCAGGTGTCGGGCTCTCCAGAGCTGAATGGGTGGGTGTCGGCTCCTGCTGTGCCGGTCTCTGGAAGAAGATGTGCGGCCGAACCAGCCCTGTCAAAAGACAGCTGCCCAAGGTCCCCAGCAGGACATCAGGCAGCCAAACTTGTTTAAACATTTAAAGGGCCAGTATCAGCCTTTAGTATCGGGGGATTTTCACAAGTATTAATGAAAAATTCCTGTATCGGCTCTGATACCGATACTAGTATCAGGATATCCCTAATCACAAGTATTTCCGGACATGTACAAGCTGCTGACAGTAACCCAAGTATGTATGTTTTTTTTTTTTTTTTATATAGAATGCCTCTGATTAGAAATAAATCATAATTTAGTTACTCATTAAATTGGTTTTATTTAATGAAAATGCTCCTGCTCATTGAACAGGGTGTAATTTGTTCATACAGTACAAGTATTAATAAGGCAATATTGTGATGATTAGCAGCACTGAGCATAAAACAGAGCACAATGTGGAGCAGTTTGAATTATGTAACACACTGCAAAATATACAAAATGTGTCAGTCTGCAATGTCACATGCAGCAGAATGTTTGGAGAGGACACCCCACCCCAATACACTTGGCACACTCCACCATGCACCACAGCCATTACAATTTTTTACTCGCCACAGTTTTCACCAGTAATTCAACAGGATGATACTTGTCAGCTTGGTGGCAGATGTGTATACACTGGCAAGCCACCCTTTTTCCAGGCCTCTCTATGAAATGAAGCCCAACCTACTTGCTGCACATCACTTACCTACCCCTACCAGTGGGCCCTGACACTAAACAGTCATGTGGGAGGATGTGGGTGGGGCTACAACTCACTCATTTCCTGGGTTTTGCCTTTAATACGAGGAGATGTGAGTATTAAGGAACTCATCATACACATCCCATAGATACATGTGTTAAAACAGAGGTATTACTAAAGTATGAGGCACAGAAAATGATGCCCTGTGAATGCGCGTCGTGAGATAACTCTAGCCACATGCGCATGCGTCTGTTGCGGACCATCGAGCCGTAATAGGAGCGGCGTCTTTGCGTGGACGTGCACGACGTGTCATTTGAACAATTGGCGCCAACTGGGCTATAAAGGCTGTGTTCAGCTATCCTCCTGTGCTGTCAGATCGTCAGCTTTCTGTGTTTCGTGTTCCTATATTTTCTGTATCCTGATTACCCGTTACTGACCCGGCTTGGACTACCCTCTGTTGTTGCTTGCTCCCTGAAGACCCCGGCTTGTTTTTGACCTTGATTCTGCCTCACTCCTTGTACTACGCTTGCTAGCTAGTTGATGACCTTGGCCTGCTTGACGATTCTTCTGCCTTGTGTTCTGCTTCCGGCTTCCTCAGCTCATCTGATCTAGAGCCTTCTTGATCCACTTCGATCCATATCCTGCTTCCTGCCCGGAGCTACGCACTTCATCTCATCTCGCAGACGTTACAGGCTAACGAGACTCTGGCACCCTTGCCCCTCTGTGCCCCTGTATCCAATCCAGGTGCTCCGGGACTGGAGGTGTGAGAAAGGCCGCCCTCGTCAACTCAGACTCCCCCAAGGTACGTGACAGAACCTCTGTCAGATTTTTTTTCTGCTGCCTGTGTCGCACAACAGGAACAGAAAAGAAATCTGCCCAAAGTGAGTGGCAACCGCTTTAGACATTCGTCACCAATAGCTGTACCCATTGGAATTTCCAACTGCTCTTGTACTGGTAACAACTTTTTATTTAATTGGCCACCAGCATGAGAAAGTGAGACCCAAGAGGTGCATAAAGAGTGGTAAAAACATGCATGATTTTTTGTACCCAAAATTATTAGGGCTGGTAAAATTTCCTGTTCGATTAATCGAACTTTTTTTAAATCGATTAATCGATTTCAATTATAACGCACATACAGATCCAACTACATTGGCCTATACACAGAATAATAACGTGCTGGATTAGTGTGATCCTAGTTCATTTTATTACATCATTGCTGTGCTGTATGTGTATAGGCCAATGCCAGGGATCCCAACCTGAAATAAGCATTTCAGGGGGGTGCTCTCTGGGAGATGAATACGTTTTATCCTAACTTCCACATTTAATTGCCCATTCTGGGTGAAATAGAGATTTAGTGAACTTTAGTGGTACTTCTAGGAATGTACACTCAACACCCTTCGTCTATAAATGCAGCCTGCAAAAGATTAGTCCTAAATCCCATCATGTAGAGTAGGGGGGAGTGCGCACAGTGCGTTTAAGTTTCAATTCAAAGCAAGTCAAAACTTAATAAATCTTAGTTGGCCTGGCAGTGGATGAGAGTCACTGGAAAGCAATTGGAAGAAAAATGCTCCTTCCAGTGAAACTGGACACCAATCAATTAAATAGGTGTTCCATCTTCCCCAGCTTATTTACCTTAACCGTCAGGCCCACGAAATCTGGTGCTCCTATCCTCTTCTCTCAAGCACCAGAATGTTGGTAGGCCCTCCACATAATCATATACAAAGCAGGACCAGCAGTGGATGTTAGTACTCAACTGTACATGACCACGTCGGCAAAAGGGGCAGTGACTAGACTGTACAGGGATGCTCTGGGGAACTGGTTGTCACAACCTGGAACTGTTGTGGGTAGGACCACAGAACCCTGGCTAAAGGTAAGCAATATATTCTGTTAAATAATTCCCTCGAAAAACAAGAATTACGTTCCTAATCTGCTGGATGGACAACCCTATCCCAGAGTTAGGCTTTTAATGTGCCTACCATAAAGTGATCACGTCCCTTTGCCCAGTATAGAAGCCAAAGTTTACTTTTAAGTGGTCCTTGCATTTTTATGGGATAGTAAATTCTTAAATGTTCTAAGAAAGCACTGCATGAGATTTTGACATTCAGCTCTCCCAGGGTCCCACAATGAGTAAGTGACATGACTTCAGGTGAAGTGACTGGAAGCCGGAGTGTAGGGCAAGCAACTTTCAACTTAAGTCTCATAAAAACTGAATTTATGCTATATACCCAACGTTTTACTTTGTAGTTTTCTCTCTAATATTTTAACTCTTTATTAAAGTTACACTCAACTCAGGAGTTAAATATTAAAAATGCATTCAATTACACTGTCTGAATATTTGTTTATAGTGGGAGTACTGTTAGTATTGTTCAGAATGCTCCATCTACTATGCATATGTTCCTTGATGGATTGTTATGGATGGAATTAACCACTGCGTGGTATAATTATTACTTTGAAGTGATGACGTTTGTTTTAAAAATGTAAAGATTGCTAAAAGTTAATAAAACATTTTTGGAAAAAAAAATGCATTCAAGTACCTTAACTATTAACAAAACTGGATTTTGTGTATCACTTGGCCGTAGATCCTCAAATCATCTCCGAATTGGTGCCGACACTGCCCCCCCCCTTCTGGAGGGTGGCTACTTTTGTTCACCATGGTCCCTGTGTGTGTTGTAAAGTAGCCACCACTCCAAGCTCACACCTGTGATCGACTACAATCTGAGGTTTAGCTTACTCATTTGTATTGAAATTATAGTCTATCACGTTTGGAGCGGTGGCTACTTTACAACACACACAGGGACCATGGGGAACAAAAGTAGCCACCCTCCAGAAGGAAGCACAGTCTCAGCACCAATTCAGAGATGATTCGAGGATGCACAGCTGAGTGATACACAAATAAGCTAATTTTTGTTAATAGTTAAGGTACTTGAATGCAATTTTAACATTTAACTCCTTAGACTAGTGTTGCTTTAAGCCTAAAATAAAGTGAATGAAATGGAATCAAAATTTTCATAGAAATGCAATTTATTGAGAAACAATAGACATGTGAAAGGTATAGAAAAGGCAATCTTATTTTATCCGACTCCAGTATAAGCAATACGAAAACCCCCCACAATTCAGCAGCATAGAATGAATTGCAAAATAAAGCCTAAAATAACAAAAGAAACAGAATGCCCAGAAATTTCCCAACAGGTTTCCAACGATTGCGCACAGTCATGCACATAAGTAAATATGTAATAGATATTACAAATCTTGGGAGTGATTGGGTGGTGTAAACTAGCACTGGCTGCTTAGACTTGAGTAGTGGACTTTCTTCCTTTTTAGGCATTGGGATTGGTTTTCATTAGTTGCATATCTGCTTCCATCATCTCCTTTACCAGCTCCTGAAATAAAAGAGGAGGATATTAGTCCACTACATTCCTCTATTACATCCAGAGTAAGACTGTCATCTCTATGTCAGACTGAAGAAAAGGTATCCTTGGGGGTGACACGCCAATGAGTCGGTGACTTGCATGCAGGACAGGTATTTAGACTCTACAGACTTCACTAGCATGTTCCAAGTAAGTGGCTTACTAGGTAATAAAATTTAGATTAGACAGTCCCAGATCCCATACCTTTAAACACAAGTCAGCAATAGCAAAGACTTGTATTAAAAGTAAAACAGTAAAAATCTCTATGCTATATGTAAATGTAAAAAACAAATATAGCTGCCCTATGTACATCTATTATGGAAAAATAATCCAAAAACATTTTTATAACCACAATGATTAGAGGACATTCATTTGAGAAATGATAAATTATAAAAAAAAGAAGCGCTAGTGGTGCACAAAATGACAATATCTAATATTCTAGTCAGTTCTACAATGCTAAGAAAAATGCTCCATACATACACGCTCCATACATATAGTAGTTTGTTTTGGCATATAAAATTAATTTAAGTAGCTATCTAATATAAAACAGGCCTATCCTGTAACTTCATTGAGTTCAGCTAGTTTTCAATAATAGTCTACCACTGGATTCAACAAAGATCTCGAGTACATTTGGAAAGCAGCAATATTCTAGCATTCATCTTTGGCACAAGCTGGGTAAATCACCATAGGAACTCATTACTCAAATCAATATGTAAAATAGCTCCAGCTAGCTACCTTAAGAACAATGCTAATGCTTCACATACTATGAATGACCAAAGACCCATATCATTTGCAGCCCTAAGGACCACCTCCGATATAAAACACAGCTACTCTAGTTTCTAATTAAAGGGTAAGTTTACTTTCCCAAGTAATTTGGAAAAATGGAATTACACGCTCAAATCTGGCTCACCCACTCCCCACTAGTACAGTTATATTATCCGAACCCCAAACTACCGTCCAGTGAAGCCCTGTGCTATGGATTTTGAAATTTGCAACGAGGAGCGCCTAGTGCTTCTCTTTGGTCAGCGCCGTCAGGTGACCTCGCTGACCAATGAGTACCCGCAATTTGCGAAACGAATTCCAAAATCCATAGTGCAGGGCTGTGCTGAAAGGCAGTACAGGGTATGAATTTTATACCTGTACCAGCAGAGGGGAAAGAACCGATTCGGCGAAAGGCAAGCATAGCATGGGGGGAGAGGGGGCCAGATTTGAGCAGGTAATTCTATTTGACCAAATTCACTTTGGAAAGTGAACTTACCCTTTAACAAATTTGATATTCTCTGAATCTGCAAAGCCTGCAAATATCGCATTATGATATCTGCAAGGCCTGCAAATATCCCAATATTATTAAATCTGCAAGGACTGCAAATATCGCATTATTATTAACCACTTCAAGACCAGGTGTTTAGACCCCCTTCCTGGCCAGGCCATTTTTCAGTATTCAGCGCTGCGATACTTTGACTGACGTTTATTCCGTCATGCAACGCTGTACTGAAATGAATTTTATACCATTTTTTGGGGACAGATAGAGCTTAGAGCTTAGAGTGACACAAGAATGCGGAAGTGATGTATTATACAACACTTCCGCATTCTTGCAGCGGAGAGGGGACCGGAGAGAGCTCGTGTACCGAGCTCTCTCTGATCCCCTGTGTCACAAGCGACATGCAGCAAGAGTAAGGCTGACTATATACTGTTAGAACTGACTATTTCACAGGATATGGACAACATTTTTATTGTGGGTGGCCCTGGCAGCTTGATAAAAGTCTATTACTTAATTGACTTTTGACAAAGGAGCCAGGCCAAAGGTTTTCAGCCAAACGGTGACTGCAGCCAGTCAGTTGCGGTCACTGTTCATGTTTTCTGACAGCAGCAGGCATTGGTGCCAGAATACAATAGTTGCAGCAGAAGATTACTTAGTGTGGGACTTTTTATCATGGATGGAGGAATCTGTCAAATTTCGTTTGTTTAGCCTGCAGGCTAAACAAACATGTAATGGTATATGGCCAGTTTAAAGTTGATATACAGACTGCTATATGTTCACTGGCAGTCATTGGGAGCCATACTGTGTCTGTGACCACACCCTCCATTGCATCATTATGACTGACAAGATAGCTTAGAGCTAAAGAGAGTATAATTTATGACATGCTGCAAAGGGGGGTTGGCCACCCTTTTGCCCCGCAAGTATACAACAGTCACAGTCTTGACAACTCTTTACATTTTTTTCTCCAGACAAAAAGGGTTGGTATCCCGAAACTGAACTAGGTTTAGATCATATGATCAGTTCACATGCAAATTGCGCATCGTAAAGTTGTTGTTTACTATGATGCCATTCAGATCATAAAAGATCTGTTCGTTACTTTTTGTTGCGATTTGGCTTTTTTAAAAGAAAATATTGTTTGTAACAGTTGCGCTTATTTTTACTGTTGCTCAAAGAAAATCCTTCACGCATTTTGTTTATACTGAAAATAGTCAGACAAAAAAACATTTTGCAGGTAACGTCAGCGGTTAAGACTTACAGCTGTCTTTAGGGCACGAATTGAACCAATAATTTATTACTCCCCTAATCAAGCTGATTGAGGATCTCTAGCAAATACAGTTTACTTAAGAATAATGACTGCTATTGCAAATGGCCCGTACATAACTAGTGATAAAGATTATTATTTGTAATGATTACTACTTCTTAACAGTTGTATGCATTCTGAATCTCCAAGATCTCACTTGTATTCCTGTTCCTTTCTATTTTAGTTCAGTGCTGCAATACAGCTTTGCACATTATTTCATTTTTGTTTCTGGTCAGTCTTGCATCTAGAAGGGATCATGGTAAATCATACTAAAATACAGCTATAATGTAACAAAATAGTAGTGCGATAAAGAGGCTAACCAAATGACATTTATATACAGATTTCCAATTTGTTAACGGCTTACAACTACATAGAATGTGATGGACTATGAAAACACTTACGTCAAATGAAACTTTAGGTGTCCAGTTTAGCTTTTGTTTGGCTTTGCTGCAGTCTCCTTGGAGGAATTCCTAGAGTAAGAGAAAATATCGAACTATAACTAAAGATGGAACCAAACATAGTAAAAGGCTTTTACACTCAAATATAGCAAATATGCTTTAACTGCTCACTAGCAAATGTAAGCATTATATTGGTACTTGTATGGCAGCAACTTCTACAGGTAATATTGAAACAAGAATCACATATGACAGATTTTACATTACAAGTCTATACAGAATTTAAAGATGAAAATAAGTTACATGCATGACATTAGTAATAGGTACTAATCCCTAGAATGAACATTAAGGCAGGCTGTGGGTAGCTGAGCAAGCCTTCTTCACATCTAGTACACTCTAAGGCACAGTTTGGCAAAGTGAATGATTAATAATGGTTAGAGACCCTCAAAGGCCAATGACAGACCACCAGCATTACAGTTCAAGCTTTCTGTGGGAGCCTATGCAAAAGAAATGCCTTTTGTACAGAACTGGTGAGTGACTTTCTCCACGGGTTTCCATTTGTAAACACTTGTTAATGTGGTAAATGCATGCATTCAGTTTAAAGTATAACAATATGTGTACTTTCTGTGCCTAAAATGTGCCCTCCCTCTGCTCTAAGGAAAATGGATTAAGTTAAAGACAGGGCAAGTTTCAGGGTGTTTTCTGACATATCTTTTCTATTTTGTGCTGTAAATTAATGCAACTTATTTACAATTAAGGATTGGCCTAAACTGTAGGATTCAGTGATTGGGATACAAGACGAATTAGTGTTATGCTTTGTATACAAGCAGATTTAACGTTGGATTGGACAGAAGTGAAAAATGGACAGACTGAATTTGCGGAATATCATTCTCTGTTAACTTTGTACTCTTACAAAAGTATAAACATAGGATTTTCCCAGGAAAAAAACAAACATGAAACAGGAGCTTAAGATACCACCATGTTACTTGGAATATGTGAGAATGCCTGTTAGTAAGCATGGGTGTAATTCAGTTAAAAATCTTTGTTCGCTTTAGCAACTAAATATCACCTTAGCATTTAGACTACTCTCTCCACTAATCCAGAATTCCATAATGAAAAGCACTTTAGGGTCCTTCAGTAGCACCAATTTGTCCTAAACAATGAAGTCAAGGTAAACCCTGAGGCAGCAGAAGGTCCTTTAAGGGACAATGTTCAGTTTAGGGTGAAAGGTAATGTCAGGGTTAGGCTCCTGTAACTGATTACTCAACAACCTCCATCTTCCCAACCACAAATCACTGTGTGCTATTGCTGAAAACCCAAACACATACACACATCCCACTCAGTATACATGAAATTACTTTGGTTACAGTTCATGGTCTACATTTATCTGAAGAGCAGACAGATAAATCTGTTCACATTTCTAGTTCTTCTATGACTAAACCACATTCTATGAGAACAGTGGAGACGCACTCGAAATTCAATTGTGCTGCGCAGTGGTCAGGTTTCTCTATCGACTGGTTCAAATTATTGTCTTGCTCTGTTTAAAACGGGAGTAAATCACAAAGCAAACACAATAACAAATGAAATGCTCAACCTTAAATGGAAACATGTGGTCAAGACAAAACGCTGAAATTGTTAAGACCTTAGATTTTCACTAATGCCAAAAGGTTGAGTTTTATGTGCTTCTATAGCGTAACCTGTTGTCTGCTGAACTGGTGGTGAGAACAAAGCTATACAGACAAGACAAATATGCCTAATTCCTCATAACTCAATTACATCCAATATAGTTTTCTCTTTGTAGTTAAAATATATTCCATGCATTGATGTGCACTAAAGTTGTATATTTACACTTTTACCTTGCCCGCAGACCTTAGATGACCCTTGCTTATCTAGATGCAAGCAGACATCCTTGAGTAACCAATTTCAGAGGGAAAGTTGATAATTTGTGTTGGGTTTTCATATTCGTTCATTATTTTTGCTTTAAAATTGGATTACACAATTGGCCATTTAGCATGCATGTATATACACCATCCAATAGTTCATCTTTCTTCTGCCAGACTGGTGTATATAGGTATATAGACGTGCAAACTTGTATACTGCAATATGCATCTGTATGTGCAGAGCAGACACCTCTGAAGTTCTTCTTATCTGAAGGGAACAATCTATCCACCTATATAATCCGATTTGGGTATAAGACTTTTCCTAAAAGAAGAGCTGAAAGTGTCTGCTATTTTTCCGAGGAGTGCATACAGACCAGCAGAATCAGGACTGCATGCAGATAAAGACTTTAGTCTTGTTATCTTCTCTAGTGGCAGATTTGACAAAACATTTTAACACAATACTTCCTTTTGCCTTAAAAACTGCTGCTGTACAGCAAAGGTTTAGAGAGAATGCTCTGTTTATTTAGAAATACGCTTAGGCACCAAGTTTTAACATTAAACGTTCTACATTTTCATCGTCCTATATTGTATATTAAGCAGTGATGCAGCAAGATTGCCACAGATAAATACTTGTTAAATAATACAGTTAATAAAAATCAGTTTGCATAACCAGGGAATACATTGAAATACCCCTCACAGCCAAAGACAAAGACATATTGTATGGTTCTGCCACTACTTTCTAAAACTTTTTTTCTTTAGCCCAGTGAAAAATGTAAAGCATTTAAATGTAAATACCCCACTTCCTGAGCACCGCTTCAGGGTGTGAGCGCTGCCTTCACTCTGCCTGCTTAGGTGAAAGATATGGTCTAAAAATGTATTTGGGTTAATTTAATCATTGTAATTGATATTTTTAAAAATGTTACGACCGCAAATAAAAACAGCACAGTTAACAAGCTCAGCTTGTGGATAGTTAATCCTTGCTGGTAAAGCCTGGCTGGAATAATAAATTATAATGATCTCTCAATTCTTGTGTGATAAATATACACAATACATGGAATTTTTTCATGAAACTGAATGATTTCTGAAAGTTTCTTCTATAGCTGGTTGGGCACATAAAAGCACCTCCTTTGAAGACTTTGTGACTTAACAGCTTTCCTGTTACTAGCCAGATCTCATTCTAAAAGAGTGCATTTCTTTTTAATTTCTTGGCTATAAAATGTTTTGTTTAATTTTTTATTGTCAAACGTGTATCTGATATTTGTAAATAATAAAGGCAATTCTTGTGGAGTTCATCTATTATTACCTAACAGTTGACTAGTGGCACATCATGCTGATATGACACACCAAGGGTATGTGCACAGCAGAGCAATGTAAATTGTGACTCCCAAGTTCAGGGGGATAAAGCAAGATCTGTGATGAAGTTTGGGAACATTTAAGGTGGGTATAGACATACGAGGGACTGTTTGTAACCATACATAAACACAAACACTTTGCTTGGCTGAGTGATGGTGTTTATCCCTATGGAGAAGGACATGAGGTGCGAGTAAACGGCCCCTAGCACCACCTACCTTGAGGGAGAATGATAGCATTTTAATAAAAGTTTGTCTAACTGATCTATCCTTCCCAGAGAATGGTCAGCTAGGGGCACCTGCTGCTACCATGGATATGAGATTAGGCTTTTATATCTAACCACCATTATCTTTTTTAATTTTTTTACTGACGCTCTAATGAGAAATAATTGAAGATTTAAGACACAAAATTGTACCAGTCACACATGCACGTTTGAAATTAGCAGACATCTATGCTACTTGGGAAATTGTAGATTGCAAGCATATCTGACAGGTCTATAGGTTGCCTTTATCTTCTGATAGCATTTAAAACATTTATTTTTCAGAGTGTTGCAACACAAATTATTTAAAACTATTTGGTACCCAATGATGTCTGTTTTTTTCTGTCTGCATCTGTCACAGACATAATTTTTTAAGCAATGGAGCCACTAGAACAGTATAATAGTCAGACATCTAGCATTTGGAGAGGTCAGCAATGGTATCCTCTACTTTCCTTAGTAACAGTTTCCTTTAAATAAAGGCCTGTGTGTCATTGTGGTATTCCTGTGGTCACTCTTGTGGATACCATTCCCGGAATAAATAATCAGGGACATATAATTCATTCCAAAAATACAAGCACAGATTCTGCCGTATTAGTTGGGGTCCCAACACAAACAGGGGCTTACTAACCCCCCCAAAAAAGGAAAAAACTGACGTCATCCCCTAACATTTCTCTGCAATATGGATTCAAGCACCAGTTTTGCCCAACTATAGAGCTGCTTTGGCCTGTTTTTCATTTTGTAAGTGGACCTCCCCGAACAACTGTATATTTTGCATTATTTTTATTATGTATTTGGTCATCTGTATTTATTATAATCCGTTTTATTGCAGTAGCTCCTAAATTGCAAGTGTGGAGGTTGCAGAGAACCTGCATCCAAGCAGCTGTAAAAAAAATTATATTTCACATCTCACTCAACATAATATGGCTTTTGGAATTTGGTACAATAATTTTGCTTGCCATACACTTGGATGTTTTATCTGTAATTTTGAAGAGTTTCCAACAATTTGCAAACTGCCCTCAAATGATCAAAATGTTAAGCAACAGAAAATGCTGTTTGTTTGGCAATTGAGTGGTTTTGATTGAATTATACCAAAATGTAATCTATCTGACTGTCTGGTAGATTGCGATGGATGAAAGCTAATGAAAACCTTGGCAAGTGTATGCCCAGCAGAGGACATTCCTTATTGCCCATGGCAGCCAATCAGTTTCGGTCAATTCTGCAGTGCATGTTTGAATTAGACATAGGTCTGCTGTTTAGCTGCTAAGAAATGTTTCCTAAAATTTTTTTCCACTGCAGATATTTGTACCAGTACATCTCAGGCCAGGGGTTGGCTCCCCAATGGTTTGTTATCCACCTCAAACATTAATACTAGTAAAAAGGAATGTAGCCACACTCCAAGTTAACAGCCGTAGTTAGAAGTTTAATATATGGTCCAGTGCAAGACAGATCACCTGAACTCCACCCTCTGAAGCTTTTCTCTCATATTGTGCTTATTAATAGAGTACTCCACATATAAGAGTACTATAAGGAATATTTCCTGTAGCACATTTTTATATACTGGCCTCATAGAAATGTTGACTATTTCT